TGGACTCAAGCTGCATTATTTCTGGCAGTCTGTAAAGACCCTTAGTTTCTTTATAAAGGAAGAAGGTGATAAGATATTCAAGACTAACCAAAAGAGAATTAACAGTGAATATTTTTTGTTTGGCTTTTACAATTCTTAGTAAACACATTAAGACATTAATAGGAATCTTAAGAATCCTTAAATATTTAAGGTATCTGTATTAAAACTACTTTGATGTTATAAAAATAAAATTAAGAGGAGGAATATGACAGATCCAATAAGGTAGAGATTCATGGATATAAGCAGATAGGAAAGCCACTATGATTTAGCGCAAACTACTTGAAGGTAGGTAGTTTTTGTTGATGTAATGCAGGGGTAGGCATCCTTTCCCCTTTAAGGGCCGAGGGACTTCAGCTCCCAGAAGCCTCAGCCATGTTGGCCAATAGTCCCATGTTGGCCAATAGCTCCTGGGATTCTGGGAGCTGAAGTCCCTTGGCCCTTAAAGGGGAAAGGTTGCCTACCACTGATGTAATGGTACATTCGAAATACAATAATCTATATGGAGATTTTAATGATAATTAAAATAATATATATATAAAATAATTTGCACCTAGAACTCTTCTGTTTGCTGTGTTTGCAGTCCCTTGGTCCCTTCGCGTCTCAAACTGCATTTCTAAAGGCTCAGCTGAAATGTTAAGTTCAGGAAAGGCTAGAGATGTGGAGATTGAAGGAGGATCTAATGAGAAGGCAGTCTTCTTCTTTGAGGGGCAATGGTGCTAAATCTGATAAGGATCCTAGGGGCCAGCTTGGTGTGATGGTGTGAGTGTTGGGTTTAGGAGTGGGTGACCTTGGGCAAGTCACACTTTCGGTTCCAGGGAAAGGTAATGGCAAACCTCCTCTGAATTAATCTTGTCAAAACAAGCAAGATTTGTGAAAGGGTCATCAGCTCCACTTTGAAGGCTCACTGTATTAGGAATCATATAGTGGCTCCTATACATACTTGTATCTTGTGAAGCAGGCTGCAAACACAAATATTTATGCCAGAAGAGGAATTGTTAGTCTGCAAAGGGCAAGACTGTTGCTGTTTTTGCTGTAACAGGTTTAGCACACATCCTCCCACAAAACACACACCTAGATTATGACTTATGAATTCTAGGGGGGATTCTAGGAAAGCCCTCTTAAAGTCATTTTGCTGCCTGAGGAGAAGAAGAACCTCCTTCCTCAATATGTAGAGAGGTTTTGTAGCACCTTTGAGACTAAGGGGGGTTGCAGACTGCCAGAAATAGTGCAAATTGAGTCCACTTTAAGGGTTAGGGTTAGTGCTAGGGAATCATGGGAATTGTTGTTTTTTTCTGAGACATTGAGCCTTCTTTGTCAGAGAGCTCTGGTGCCACAATAAAATACAGTTCCCATGATTCCCTAACCCTAAAAGTAGACTCAATTTGCACTATTTCTGGCAGGCTGCATCCCCCCCTAAGGTCCAAAACAGGGAATCATGGGAACTGTAGTTTGTTGTGGCACCAGAGCTCTTTGAGAAGGCTAAATGTCTCACAAAACTACAGTTCGCAGAATTCCTTAGCATTGATCCAGGGCAGTTAAAGCAGTCCCAAACTGGATTATTTCTGCAGTGTGATTTGGACCCATCTGAAAGAAAGAAGTTGGCAGCATGAGCTTCTGTAGACTTAAAAAGTCTACTTTTGCAGATGCTTTAAGCCTACTTCCTCCAAATGCATCTGAGGAAGTAGACTAGCCTACAAAAGCTCATGCTGCCAACTTCTTTTTTTCCATTAGTCTCAAAAGGTGCTACAAAATACTGATTCTAGAGACTATTAGGGGTTGCAGACTGCCAGAAATAGTGAAAATTCAGTCCACTTTTAGGGTTAGGGTTAGTGCTAGGGAATCATGGGAACTGTATTTTATTGTGGCACCAGAGTTCTCTGACAGAGAAGGCTCAATGTCTCAGAAAAAAAACAATTCCCATGATTTCCTAGCACTAACCCTAACCCTAAAAGTGGGCTCAATTTGCACTATTTCTGGCAGTCTGCAACGCCCCTATATCATGGCTATATCTTTGAATTCTACCCCTTAAATGGAGGAACACAAGTCCATCGAAAGTCTGCAAAAAGCTTGGTGGCCTTTATTTTTCTACTGCAAAGTAGTTAACGATAGTTTAATAGCTAAATTAAGATATCTAAAAGCGGCTTTGGGTCCCTTTCTTGGAGAAAGTCAGCATAAAAATTAAATAAATAAAAATAAATAATACATTTGAAAATGGGTAGGAGGGACCTGGTCACGTTTCTAACAGACTTGACTGCCAGCAATCCTAGATGGCATAGGCAGTGCTGGGCATTTAAAATCCACACAGTGATTTTAACAGGCCTCAAACTCTTCATTCCAAAATCCAGGATGCAGAAAGATTGCAAAACCCATTTTGCCAGCATGCCCTGAGTCTAGGCATGGTTCCTACAGACCTAGTAGTAAGAGAAAGAGGGAATTTGTGGGTGAAAAAAATAGATTTGCATTTCTTCTTGTGTTTCAAAGTTTTGGCAATCTGGAGATCACCTCTGGCTTTAATGAAGGTAACAATTAGTTTCACTTCCTCTTTCCTTCATTTATTAAAATTATTTTATTATTGACCAATTCTATCTTGAGATTTAAAAGGAAGTTACTGTAAAAATTTTGTACGCATCTACTCAACAGTTAATTCCCCATATACTGTAAAAAAAAAAACTTGGAATGTTATCTGTTTATTTTTATTTGGAATGTATAAAAATATAAATGAAAAAAAGTTAACTCTCCTGAATTTAATGGAGCATGTAGTGTTGCAGCCTTATCGTTATTTCTGCCTTTGCGCGTGTTGAAATGTGTTTGTAATAACAAGGTTTATTTTAACAAGGACTTCTTAATAATAAAGTTGTTTTAATCTTTTTGCATTTTTGGTTTGTATTTGTTTTATTTGTTTTATTTTCAGTCCTACCTAGCATGGCCATTCATGAGGGGTGATGGGAGTTGTAGTCCAGAAACATCTGGAGGGGATGCATGCTTCCCACTTCTGCCGTAGCTTAATTTCATGCAGTCCTCTACTCTCATCTTAATTTTAAAAAACATCTGGAAGTAATCCATACATAGGACACTTGCAAGAATAAGCTGGTCCTCTGGCAACCTGTTGGGTGAGGAGAAAGCAAAACAGAGGGATGGATGGTAGAAAAAGAAGGTGGGGAGTGGCAGAAACCAAATGTGTGTTCAACACTTTTGGCTCTGGCTGCACTGACTACAAACCCCAGCCCACCACCCCTGCTGTGAAATGGCCCTGACCATTTAACCTGCAGGGAAGGGCTGACCCAAAATCCTTTTTGCTGCCTGAAGTATCAGAACAGCAAAAAAAAACAAAAAAAAACACTTCATCTGCCTAGTCAAGGTGCAAAGTATTCAAGGCTGGTTAAGTTCCTGAAGAAGGGGAGTTTCCTGACATAGATTAGCAAAATTTGCAGACAAGCAGCCATCACTGAGTCTTCTTTGTTAGTATACAGCCCCAAGAAACCTAGGTTTCCGCAGGTTCCTGAGTTAAAGGAGGTTCCTCAATAAGATTAGCAAGAGGTTCCTAAATTAGATTAGCAGGAGATTCCTGAATTAGAGGAGATTCCTAATTTAGATTAGCAGGAGGTTCCTGAGTTAGAGGAGGTTTCTGAATTAAAATAGCAGGAGGAACCTGAATTAGATTAGATGGTTTACATATTTTTTGTTTTGTTATGCAAGGCATACCTGACCTGTCTTTTTCATATGTGCATATAAAAATTAGTTTTGAATAAAAGTTTGCTGGGAGGGGGAAGAAGACACTGATAGGAAGGAGGTTCCTGGAGGGTTGGTCTGAAAACCATTGTATCATTTTATTCAGCTACTATATTGAGGGCTTCAAAGAAGATTTTTAGTGCTTCCACCTAGATCTTATCACACATGAAATTCAGGACTCTCATGAATCTGTTTCTCTGAAAAGAAATCTCCATATAAAAGAAGAATTCTAGCCTGGTGTTCTCCATAAGATGTCAGTTCCCTATGCGCAGAGATATCTTTGTATGGACTATTCAGTCATTTGACTCCCACTTGAATCTAAAGTATTGCAGTCTAACAGTGGCTCCCAAACTTTGGCCCTCCAGATATTTTTGGACTTCATCTCCCAGAATTCCTGAGTGT